AGGCGAGTTTAGGAAACTGGAGGATAGAAGCTGTAGAAACTTGTAACACTTCGTCAATAGTTAGTTTCTTATTGATAACAATTTTTCTCCGCAGCAGTTAAAAAGGCGAACGATTCAAAAAGGTTTATTGCTGCGACTTGAATCTAATTATACACCTGGAGTGAGAAAATATTAACTTGTCGTAACATTGGAAAAGGTAGCTGCTGACAGTGTGAAACGACTTAAATATTTGATGTGACTGTCACAATCATCAGAAAAAGCACAATGAGACATGACACGATAGAGCCCTTGAGTCTTGGCACATTGTGAAACCACATTATTTCTTTATGGCATTCATTAGGATTAGGAGGGAACAATGAAAAAACCGATCTCATTTGCTGAAGGGGTTTTTTCCATAGGAGTGTTAGTGACCATTGGAAAGCTAAAACTTGAGGCTACAACCCCGCGAGCGGGTTTTCAAAAACACTCCTTTATAACGCTGTAACATTCAGAATAAAATCATGTTGTATTAAACCATGTGTTTTTTTTCTTAGTTCCCTTGTTCTGGTTCTTAATTCTCTGGACAAAACTCATTTCTTAGAGTGCTAGTACTTAAACTATAGCGCAAGCTTCAAAAAACTCAAAAATGTATCTGCTTTTCAAACACGTCTTCTGATTTTATGATCTTCTCTGGTGCTTTAATTTGTGCTGAGAACCTCGCCGGACAGAACTCTTCATTTGGACTTTTAGTAACCATCTAAGAGCATAATGTTTCTCGATTCTGGCGAGATGCTTATTTTCTGGAAATACGGTTCCGCGGCGAAATTATGATTGAGTTTTACATTCTCAGCAAGTTTGTTTACAGACTGTTCGACAAGGCGATGGCCGTTCAGGGGCGTGACAGGGACGGTTTGCACACCAGTCTACATCATGGGTCTTATTTAAACATCATATCACCGCAATTGGCAGTCAAATAGGATGATTTCCGATTGATTATTGAACCCATTATCTGTCAACAAAAGTGGCCTTAATGTCGATAATGACTGATCCGCCACATCGTAGACGGTTGGCTGTTGACAGATAACGCGTTGTAGCGTAGCAGTAGTGGAGTGCAAAACGAGCGCCGGTGGTGCAACGGTTCAACACATGCCCGGAAAGAGTATGATGTGGGTTCAAATCTCGGCTGACGCAAACGTTTATGCACACCACTCTACATCATTGGGTTTATTCCCTTTCAATAGACTGTTTTCAATGATCTTGCTGTGAAAAAAGAGTGGCTTTGGTGATGACGATATCGCCGATACATTGACGGAAGCCACTAACGATATATAACGTAACCACCTCGAAAAAGGCTAAAAACATTCCTAAATACTACGTGTTGGAGTTATAAAAGCTAGGCCATAAAAGTAGTGGACTGAAAGGTAGTGTCGCTAGTTTTCGAGATCACAGAAATGAAAAAACAAATAAGGTACCCAGAATTATTATTCTTTTCCTAGCCAGATGGGATGCAATGATATGTGAACGCATAGTCAACGTCGTAACGCTCAACTGAGGAAAAAAAGAAGGTAACTCCCATCTACTTTTACTACGTATGAATCCGTAAGCCCTTTCCGGACGGTGACCATTTTCGGGCGACAGGGCTCTTCGTACTGCTGCGAAGAGCGGCCAGTGTGGCGCGCTTCAATGTTACTTTGGTATTTTTTTTTATGTAATTTGGACTTTTTCCCTTACTGAGAAGTGTTTGACTTCCGGTATGTAGAAAAATATGATATAGGAGACACTAATAAGTTTATTTCTCATTGAAACATGTCTATACAAAATGATGCTTCAGATTGCGTGCGATGCTTTTTTCATCGATTGCAAACAACAATTTTTCAATTACAATTGTACTTCAGAAGTTGACACCTTCATGAAAGTATAAAGAGATTACCTGTTGTTTAATGGATAAAACTTTTCAATATCGATTGAGATTGTGCTTTGAACATTTTTCATCGTTGCAAACTTTGCCATTGGTCATGCCCAGTGAGTCAACGTGGTGTGGGTATTTGTATTCACCTGAATGGATGTTGACCCGTGCCGATTTCTAATGATTGATTGCTTTCTAATGTTGATACAAATTATTGAATGTTGAATCAATACTCTGAACAAAGCGCTTATATTAACAACTGTTAATCGGCTAAAATTTGACTTGATGGGCTAATTATTCCGAAAGCAAGATGTTATTACAATTTCGTAATTGGTGTCGCAAAAAGTTGTCTTGATAATGAAATCTATTTTCTATTATATATATATTTTATATATTATTACATATTATTATACCTTATACCTTATTATATATAGTATATAATATATTTCCTGAGTTATTGAATACTCTATTATATACATTTTATATAATACTATATGTGATTATATCTTATACATTTATATATATATATATATATATATATATATATATAAATTATCAAAAAAGCGAACTACCGAAATATCAGCTGTTGAATGAGTATAGAAATCATATAACACCTCTTATTTCGCATAAATAAAAAAGTCAGGAGAGTTGTTGTTGTTTTCAATCGAATTTATGTAACACTTTGAAATTTCAGCGGGTGCTAATAATTTCGGGACCACATGTACCACTCGTAGTACACGCGCATTTTTGTGATTTTCTCGTCGAGCACAGATTTTCATCGGAATTTGAGTGTTCATCCGCTAGCTGAGGTTTCTTCCGGTTCCGATGGTATGCTTGGTTTTTGAAAACGTTTTTCTAGTGAGCTGTAGCAGCGTTTTTTCTCTAGAGTGCATAGTGTATTTTGCATTCGTGCTTGCTTAGCTTTTCAAAACAAAGCTTTTTCACCAAAGTTTCAGAAGATCTTCGATAGCCAAAAAAGTCGCTGTTCTAATACTGTGTTTGGTTTGTGAACATGCTTTTCTAATGAGCTGCAGAACAGAGCGAAAATTACGTTTTGCCTTGGAATGTGTAATGTAACTTGCACACGTATCTGGTTAGCTCTTCTGTCAAACAAAGTTCTTTCACTAAAGTTTTAGTAGTTATTCGATATATTAAGAAACGGAAATCCTATCGACAACTTAATTTTTGATGAAATCTTTTATTGAGCTGTAGTAGCGACGAAAAGAAATTACCTCTCGATCCCCCTTCAGTATCAAGTGTGCCAACAGTGGGTCACTAACTTTTCCTGGTTTCCTCGTCGGGCATAGGTTTTCACTAGGATTTTAATTACTCATTCGATAGCCGAAAGATTTGCAATATAAAAAACTACTTTTGTTTCTCTAAGAGCTTTCTCGGCTCGTTGTAGCAACGAAGAGATCATTACGGTTCCCCTGCGAAGAGTCTAGTGTGCTTTGCACTCGCGTTTTGCTTGGCTTTCCGTCGGACAAAATGCTTAGTAGAGTCTTAGTAATCTACATAGCTTTGAACATTCTAATTATAGTACTCTATTTGTTTCCTGTAAAGATCTTTTTGATGAGATGTAGCAACAGCGAAAATAAAGTACGTTTTACCTTCGACATTATTATATGCATAATTGACGTCTGTGCTTGGTTTTCGCAAACATCTGGTGATACTTAGACAGCCATTTGATAGCATAAAATATGAAAATTTCGAATTCCAGTTTCAATCTACAAAATTACATACAGAGCGTCCTAAGTGAGAAAAACATTACGTTTTACACTCAAATAACTCTACCATTGCTATGGAATTCAAAACGTATTTATTTGCGATGTAGAAAGAAAATAAAAAGATCAATACTAATAGAACGATCAAACAAAGTTTTTTTATGATTACGCTAAGCTTGAAAATTTTTCCAAAACGAAGAAAAATTTTCTAAATGAATGACCAAGTCGTGCTCCTTCGGGGAGCTAATTGAAATCGCTGCACACAGCGCTATCGGAAAGAGCGCAAATTAATTATTCATTTAGAAATTTTGCATCTGTCACTATGGAAGGAAATGTTCAGATTTATTTTCATGTTCAGATACAATAGGATTGTCTCTACATCCCATACGCTCTTGGTGCATACATGTCTCTTATGTGCGCAGAAAACGTGGAAGGTGAAGTGTAATATTTCCTCTACTCTCACGACGACCTATAGAACACAATTTGAAACAAAGATTATGTCTTACATTTGCCATAAGTTATGCTATCAAACAGGTTCTAAACCTTAAATGAAGAATCATCCAGATAGTGAAAGGAGAGTTGTACAGACTCAAGTCGAGCGAACCGGGAATACCAAGTGTGGAACATGGTCTTATTTTCGCTGTTACAACACACTACAATAATTATTTCAGAAGTCTTATAGAGTACCGTAATCGCCGGTATTTGAGCTTTCGATTGATTTCTGGAACTTTAAGGAAAAGCTTTTCCCACCAAATAAGGCTCGATACAGAAAGGGCCTTTATGCTTATGCATTATGCAGCATCACTTTTGACAAACCACTCATTATATTTTGAATTCAAGCCACAATTATAAGTTTCAAGTGTTGTATATGATGAAATATATCAAAGGTGATAGATCTATATCATTATATTCTTTGTGCAAGTAATACAACTGACGGTATGCTGACATGATTGTAATTTCGCAGTAAATGGGAGATTTCCATCTAAGCATAAACGTTATATTCGCACCAAGAACATACGAGTGTGTAGAGAAAATCGCAAGCTATCGGAAAATCACAAAAAACCTAAGATTTATTTCCAAAACGTTGAAAAATCCTCAGTTCAACAAGAAATTGCGCACCGCCTACTATTTCACTGCGCGTGGCAATACAACTGGTGCTCCTCAAAGGGTCAAGAAACTTTTTCTCAACATAATAATTCTTTCTTGATTACCAGAACCGTCCTTCAGTCATCCCACACATGAAGATGAACATTCCACATTTTTTGGACAGTGGACACAAAGTTGTCAACATGCAAATTACGTTCTTATATCAGAAATGATTTTATTTGACCACCACTTGCGGTTTATGATGTTACAATATACCTATATGTAGAGTGCTGTGCAAAAGCGTTTGCGTCAGCCGCGATTTGAACCCAGATCGCACTCTTTCTGATAGCGTATGCCAACCGTTGCACCACCGACGCAAACATTTTGCATGTTCTTTTATTGTCTGAGCATAACAATCCGCGTTGAAATATTCATACATAATCAGTCAGATTGCTTTTCAGTTGACCACCTTTAAAGAAAGTAAGATCTTATAATATACTTAATGATAAGGAATGATGTGCAAAAACATTTGCGCCAGCTGAGATTCAAACCCATATTTCACGCTATCGCAATGGTTCAGCACGCGCATCCGGATAGGGTGAAATGTGGGTTCGAATTTCAACTGACGCAAATGTTTTTGCGCATCACTCTTTAACATTGGGTACATTCATATATAGTCACTGAGAATGCTTTTAGCAGTCATTTTCTAGATCTGGTTAGATTATCCAAAGCAACAGTCAACAGCAGCACATGTGTTTCGGCAACTTCGACTTCAGAAGTGCCATTTTCTCCGTCACTTTTCTTACCCCTGTCATGAAGAAAGAGTTCCAAAGACTGCTAAACTGTAATCACTTAAACTATCCTCCACTAGATGTTTTAAGTTGTTGTTTGTTTTGTTTGACTGTTGTTACTGACCAGTTCGAATATTCACTTTGCATGCGCGGAGTGTAACCTGCTGGCCAACGATACCTTTATGTAAGAGATTCTTCTTCAAGAGGATTGGCTCAGACAAAAGGCACCGCTTGCACTATGTAAGTTTCGATAAAAGGCTTCATCAAAGACCCAAAAAAACATTGTTAGGTTATATTGTTTTGAGCGAAGTCTCAAAAATCGAAGTTTAAAGGTATCATTGAAATAGCTGGTTTCAAACCAACAAGTGGCCACAGAGCCGTGAAATGTCTTAAAAAGATTTGAAAGAATTAGAGAGCGTTCTCAAAAAGGTCGCACAACCACCTTGTCTGCTCCAAAGAATATTCAGAAGATCTGTTGACATATTCATCAAAATTCGAGCATTCGAAGCGCAGAATGGCTCGGTAAGCGCAGCAGCGCTCGAAGCAATGTCAAAAATGAGCTGAGCTACATTTACAAGATAGCTTGTGTTTACTTTGTGAGCAAAGAGATCTAGAAAACGGCTTCCAAAACCTCACCGAATGATTCGTTCGGCAGCTGGTGCTCGCTTGTCGAGGGTGCTTTTCACTCATAAAAAGAAATGCATGGTAAAACCATTTGCGAGAAGCCAGAATTGACAGACTCGATATCAACTTTTCAAGAAGGATTAGCAGAAGTCAGCAATTGAAAGTTGCGCCACTGGACAGATGATGTTGATCTTCTTCAACAGAAACGTCAGAATGAATGCTGTGAGGTATTAGCAGCAAGTTTTACGAGGCGTAGTGGAGCCTTAGAATACTCATGACTCAACACTCAACACTCTAGAGCTGAACAGGAGGAAACGAGCAGGTTGAGGAACGCTTAAAAGTACCGAAAACTCAATAAATAGGGCAAAGAACATTTGACTCCGTGCTCATCTTTTCGACTCAACCGTTATACTTACCCTAACGTATGCAACTGAAACTGATCGCCATGTAGGCATGATGAAATATTACTCTGCGTTACTGAACACGCACTCGAAGCTCGAGCAACTCGTTCATCGCAAATGAAAGCATGCATCCGGATTTCTAAGCTATGTTAGCGATCAATGGTCAAAGATGCCATTCTAAATGCCAGGTTATTAGAAAGGTGGGCCGAACGCGTAATACGCTTCAACGACAACCGACGGACGAGTGGCGCTGGCGAGCGAATTCTTCGCAATGTCAAGCGCTTTACAGGAAGATCACGACCCAATGGTCCGATTTCTCCGCAAAAAGTCTTAGAAAAAAATATGATGCTCAAAGGATCCCTAGAGCGAGGATGATCCACTGGGCAACTCTGGAATGCGGTGGGGAAGATTTGAAGTATTGATGAGGCTCGGCCGACTCACTAGACGATCAACGCAAAGACAGTGAAATAGGTGATTGCTTCGCATTTGCTTCGCAATACTGCTTGCAATTCTTTCCACCCTCGTGCTGTCTTCATTAACAAAATGAGAAGTTGACAGTATCAAATTATGCTCGTATATAATCGAGAGCTACAGACAAATATCATCATGTCATAGCAAGGTTAATCGTATTCGTTTCTTGTAAGATATCAACAACGGGTTCGCCTTCTTTCTTTATCAGAATCGACTCCCTTCAGTTCTTTTGAATAAGCACAAAGGATTTTGACATGATATTCTCATGTTCAACTTTTTCACTGTCTCTTCGAATGAGAAATTTTTTGGATTCGAAGTTGTAGCTGTTGTCAGTCAACGTAAAAATTCTGATGAAGGTCAAAAAATGTGGAGAAAGAAAGAAAGTTCGATTAAGGAAGTTTATAATGATGACATCTTCTTTACACACACCATACTAATTTGTCTGGAAAAACCTACAGATCGAAACAATCCATTGATGTTGCCCATTTTTACGCTTTTTCTTAATTTCTCCTTCTAAAACAATAAGGTGCTCAAGCCGCAGAGCGAAATGCTGCAAAACATGAAGTATTCCAACCTTTCCCTATAGAGACATATCAAAAAGAACATGTGCTCATCACAACATTAGTGACTGGACCCACTGACGATGCACTGTACTTTGGAAGAATGCTGCACATAAATTTCTACGTTTCCTCTTAGCGGTGATCTGCTTTCTGAGAATATACCTGGTTTAGTCACCACTGCTGCTCAGAAAAAATTTCAAAAGCCCAATACAACCAAAAACGCAAAGAACTAGCCGCAAATTTGCATCACGAAGTGGCATAAGTACTTGCATAAGCATAAAAACCTTTCCTTACTCATCAAAGTACAATTCCTCAATTTCGAACATGCTTCGACTTCACAATATCTAATCGTTATTCAATTGATAAGGACAAATTGATTTCAAAACTTGGAGTGGAGAACAATCACTACTTGCACCTTGTGTGTAAGATGGTATCGCTACAAGGGTCACTGACGTAAAAGATCGTACAAAAACCAATTCTCGTCGACGAAATAGCACGTCGGATTTCTGAAGAGGAAAACGAGTTAGCCAGCATATTCGTTCTTCTTTATCTCATATAGAAGCAATGCAGCAAGGATCTCATATCTATGTGGTGGTCGGAGATGTTTTCACATTGCCAATCTGAAAGATCTGACGATTTCGCCTGGGCGTCGAAAAGCAGTCATCTTGCGCTCTTGATTGGCCAAACCTCCTCGGGATTCGTAAGTGCCTCCTTTTTATCATCTACTGTTGGCCGCGTCTCTTCTCCATCTAAAGGCGCTCTCAAGCGCTTAGTTCAGACACTAGTTGAAGGTTCCCAATGACCCGTGCAGCTCTATGCTGGTGTACATGCTCGATGGAGACAAGCTTAATGGTAACTTTCAAAATCTCGGCATGGATAGCGCTAACGTCAAGATTTTGAACAACCGGTCAAAATCTATGACGATGTTGTTAACAGAGGTATCGTCCAAAGAGCCTACTATGGACTCAGATAAAATTTAGTTTATGGTACTTTCGTATTCTCGTTTTATACGGTCTTCTTATTTTTTGCAAAATGTATTTTCGCTTGAAAAAGGCAATGTTCTGATCCTGCTTGGAATTTGAATTAGGGCATCGGTAAGGCAAAACTGATCAGTCATGTAGCCCACACTCCTTGATAGACAACCCTCTTCTTCGATGAGATTAGTAATATTGAAACTGTTAGTTACTGCACATGGTTTTCGTCGCCACGAGTATTTGAACAGCGTGTCATTTGCAGTTGATCATTTGATCAGTTCTGCTTCGTCGTTCTCTATGTCACGCTCCTCAGGCTTTCATCTGATTCTAATCTGTAATTCCTTTTGAAGTTCGTACAGAACGTTTCGACTTCGCCTTTGTCCTGGCTTCGTGTTGCTGCGTAAACAACTAATATGGTCAAAGGCCGCCATGATCTTCGTTATTTTAGCTTCAATGCCTGAATCAGTTTGTCAAATGTTCGAATGAATTTATGACGATGGACAAACTTGTGGTAACGAGATATCCAGCGCCGCCGACACTTCTGTTATCACGCGTCCAAGCGACAATGTTTCTTTAATGTCTCGGACGGCGCGGGAAAGTCTGGCGTCTTCTTGTCTCAAACTGTCTGATGACGTCAATTTTTTGCTTGTTTACATGAGCAGTTCTGTGTGAAGAGTCTGAACGCAGTTGAACTGCATCATAGGTGCAAATAGCCACCTTGGTTCGTTATGATTAAGGCAGTCTCTTCCAACTTGGTTCTTCCCAACACTGCCGAAACAGGAGATTGTTCGGGGTTACGGGGATGAGACGTACTACTTTTATTATATATTCCCTTTATAAACAGGTAAATAGCTTCGATTAGCTGTGAAAGTGGAAGCCAGACTCTTACAGGTAGCATGCCAGTTTTCTCCAGAGTGATGCAGAGTTTTCAAATGCAAGCGACTCCTAATCGCCTTCGAGTACACTTCCTAGTCAATTGACAGATTTATTTTAGCCAAGTTGGCTACTTGCACAAAAACTATGTAGAGAGTTTTCCAATGGAAATATACAGTTTCGTAACGATCTTGCCATTGAGGTTAAGAGAAAAGTTGAAGAATATACCATCTTCGCTTTGCTGATGACATTATTTTTATAATACCCAACATCAGCTAAGCAGAAAGAAAGTTGTTCAACTTCGACAACGCTTGCGGTAAGATTTTCCAACTAAGTTTTGTGAAAAGATTTTTTATGAGGACCGGATGGCTTTTGAACATTATATTCATTGTTACTGGAATGAATATCTCCGGATACTACAGTTACTTTTACCGAGGTTAAGTCAATTCAATGAATGTCATAGCTTGAAATTTGAGCAGGACGAATCGAGCAACTTGGGTAGCTTTTGATAGCACTGAAAATATATAGGAGAGAACATGGAGCATCGGACTCCGCGTCTACCCATGCGACTAAATGGTTATGGCTTAATGTACCATAGAAGCGCGTTTGCTACGTGATCAGGATGAAAGATCATTTGGTGTTGTTGAACTTTGATCAAAAAGTCAATGCTAGTATGCCATATC